AACGACTGATGACTGACTTTGATTGCTTCAGAATTTAGTCAATCACTCGTATCGGTGCAAAACCCATCGCTATTTTAGAATCTTATAGGCGACAGAATCATGATTGCTAAAGCTTGTTCTTTGGTTTTTCAGAAAATGCTCACATGAAAACTATTGAAGCTTGATTCAAAAGCTGACATTTTATCTAGCTATCTAAGCCCGGACAAATTTAGCCTTGGCTTTACTCACCTTCGCCATTTCTAGATCTGGTTTCACTTTTGCAGCAATATCTCTATACACATCCAGCTTACAAAACTCTTTTCCTTCGCAAGGTCCTATCTCCTGCGTTATCGTGTAGATCGTATCACCTGCATTATCAGGTTCTCTGTGATAAGCCAGCTGAAAGAAAACTTTTAGTAGTTGTTCAGATGAAATTCAAATTACCCGAAAATAAGGCTCTCCATCAGTGTTGTTCTTCCATAACTCGACGAATATGGCAGCAGCATACGGCACGTATCCATCAGGCATTACCACCTTGGAGTGGAGAAGTCGCAAAATGGAAAAGAAAGCGAATACATTGACGTCATGCTGAAATTGTAAAGTCATCATTGTTGATGTTCTCTAGCCAGAGTCTTCAACATACTGCAGAGTAAACAAAATACTTGAGGCCATCAATCCATTTGCACCTTGGATGAGGACTTTTGAAGCAATCCCATTTCAAGTCCATGCGCATTTTGATGTCGTTGAAAAGTGATCCTCCACAAACTTTTTGGTATTCTTGCCAAAGGTCAAGGTCGTCAAAAATCACGGACTTATCTGAATTTTTCGGGTCGGTTGAATGTACAAATAAGAGAGATAATTAACAACGATTTTTGAATTTGAGACCATTCTATTTATCATGCAACTCATTCTGGTTTACACCCAACGTTAGAGTCTCAATCAACTGCTATTAGATTAGCTGTTAGACGCCCCTAGCGCTCTTTGGCGATTTTTAACAGCTACATAGCCGCAACAATTTTTTTTACTAATTCATGAGTACTATCCTTAGTGTACACGGACTGAAAATGTACTCCGCCATCATTTACTATCTCTCACAATAAAAAAACTGCAGTAGTTTAGTTGTATAACCATGGTACCATAGCTTTGCTGTAGTTTCCTTTCGGTGACACTTTTTACAAACGTGAAAACGATTACCCTGCGTAAACAGCAAAAGACATT